GTAAGGTTGCTATTTTTAGCTGTGCTCTTCTGGGAGTGTAATGCAACATTTGTCGAAAGCAAACATGTAAAAATAGCATATTTGTTTTCCTGACACAGAAGAATTTACCTAATTGGACAATTTAAAGACTGTGCATGATGTAATTGGGCTAGAGATCAAGAGAACTTACACCTGAAAAGAGTGTGAATGAGAGCAGCGCGTAGTGCGAGTGTTAGGCAGACGGCAGGACACCTGGGATTTTACATTGCACATGACTGAACTGTCTAGTCTTCAGGGTCCAAATCATGAAGGCAGACACACAACGGATGTGTCCAGGCGATAAAAGCTGTCTGCACCCAGAGGGACCTCAGTAAACTCCCATGGGTCAAACTTCTTAATCCTCAGGCTCGACATCCAGCTCAGTGGCCAGGTTATCTGCTGCCAAACAGTCATTTTACAGCTCTACTAATTGTGATCCATTTTATCCCACTCTGACATTTCTACACTTGCAAGGTTTAAAATATCAACTTATCATGTGTCTACCTCATCATATTGTTGTAAGCTCAAGTTCTAGCATATAATTAAGAATTATTATGCAATACCGGGCACTGTACCAGGAGAAAATCCTCTACCTACTTGTATGCTGCAGCAAGAGAAGAGAATATGAACCTGCAGCACCCTCACAACATGATTAATAACCCTGGAAATTTTACAGAATGGGGCCAAATAAATAGAGCCCGTCTTTATTAATCTCTTTATATAGCATCTGGAATTGCATGTCCATGGAATCAGTGGCACACATACCCTTAGGAGTTTAAATAAACAAGTACTACCCCATCCAGTCCCCTGGCAGAAGCAGAATGCTAAAAGGACAATGGCCTCAAAAGAAACAATGGAAGAATTATAATAATAGACTGTTTATACGACTTTGTAGGATTCCTTAGTACTTAATGGCCTCTCTTATGAGCTGTGATTCAAAAACCTGATTAAACTTTGGCCAATCTCTTATCTAAAGCATCTTCTTGTGCTACTTATATTTTTAGGTCTCTTCCTGGAAGTTCTTTTCGGATCACTTAGACAGGTTTCTATGATTTGACAACAGACCTCAAAATTGTATAGAGCAAACTTAAACTTGTCTTTCATGTCAATGTCTTTCATGACGCTGGTAGTGTGTACCAGCGTCCCATTTCCGGAGTCTCGTGGCTACACTGGCGAAATGTTAGTTCACAACCTGGATCAGTCACTAGATGTGGCTGCACCTTCATCAAGCCTGAAAAATTGCAGTTTTGACACACTTGTGCCGATTGTAGAAGCACCAGTTAATATGGCAACATAATGACACTTTCACTGAGAGAGCTTAAAAAACCCAGCCAACCTCAAAATTGGCTTGAGGGTCTTACGATCCGCAAAATTTAAATCAGGTGAGGCTTTTGATTTTAATGGACCTGTTCTCATAACTTTTTGAACACTGCTCATTCAACAGGCATCCTCATTATATTAAAAAGAACAATTAGGAGCAGTGACTCATACAAGAGTTAATTTGTTCATTAAGTAATAATAAACATCTGGCAGGGTAAGGCCTCCACTGTGAACCTTCTTTATAATTTGCAAGAGAAAAGCAGGGGAAATGCTAGTTGACAGAAGTGGCTGTGCTGTGAGGCCAGCTCCTCACTTACCCAGTCAACATCAAAAGACATGAGGGCCCTTGAGTGAGGACCAATTGGATTTTGAGTCGTGAGGTTTAGCGAAAGGAAGATGGATACTACTACTACAGCTTGTACTAAGAACAGTGTTGGGGAGTAACGGAATACATGTACCGCCGTTACGTATTTAGAATACAAAATATGAGTAACTGTATTCCGTTACAGTTACCGTTTAAAAAGGTGGTATTCAGAATACAGTTACTTTGTTGAAATAAATGGATTACACTGCGGTACTTTCCTGTTTCATTTTGTCGCGGGTCAGGACTGTTTGGGTTTTGTTTGACAGCTACGTTCTGTTGTTCCAGGTGGCAGTGTTACGGTTGCCATGGTTACAGGGCGACGTTCTCTCTCTCTGCGACTGTGTGTTTCCTGGGTGAGAGAGCGCCTTTTCGTTGTTGTTGTTGTTGTTGTTGTGCTAAGCTAACAGGCAGAATGCTACAAGCATAGCTCTAAAGACTGTAGCATCATGGGCAGTGTAGTCCGTGCTGCAGGGAGAATGGACTGCCATACACGTTATGGGTCTGTGAGCGCGAGGAGGGAGAAAAAGGGGAGTGGAAAGGTATGAGTTGTCATCGAGGAAAAACGGGAGCTGGAAGCATGTAAATATAATAATAACCACTTCAGCCAAGAAGAGAGCCTGACGAGCCCAGTTGTAAGTAAGCTATTAAGACTCGACTGTACACCGTGTTCGTGTTTTCCTCTAAGTTCCGTTGGAGCAGTCTTTCAACGCCTCTCTCTGTCTCTCGCAAGAAAAGTTGACCCACACAACAAAGTAAAGCTATTTTTCGGCTACAAGCCGACAGCGACCCCGCCGTATTAGTCAGAGGTCCCTTTACTACAGTTCGGAGTCGCGGACCTTCAGTAATAGTAATAAATCACACAGCAATAGTACATTCACGTTGTTGTAAAAAGCATGATAATATATTAAGTAATCCAAAGTATTCAGAATACGTTGCTGTCATTGAGTAACGTAACGGAATACGTTACAGAATACATTTTGGGGCATGTATTCTGTATTCTGTAATGGAATACATTTTAAAAGTAACCTTCCCAACACTGACTAGGAAGTACAACAGAAACAATATTGCTACAATACTGAAAGTCTTAGTTTTTTATTTATTCAGCATAGATTTGGGAGTCTACAAACTTAAAAGAAGATGGACTCTAGCAAGACTGACTGCACTGATTAAGACACGTGTGGACATAGAAACTAGTGATAACTTGAAATTTTACAGAAGGTCAGTGTAGTTTTTTTTGTGTGTGTGTGTTTTTTAATAAAAAACATGTATAATGCTGTGAAAGGTAATGATATGATGTCCTGAAAAAACATTGTCATTCAGATAAATATATGCAAAGAACCAAGTCGTTGTAGGCTTAAATACACATTTCATTGTCATTTTCTGGACAGAAAAGTGGTTATACATGTATCATTTAAAAGCTTTAATAATGAATATCTAATTTCAAATACACAAACAAATAAACAGAAAGGTTTTCAGGCATATTCTCCTCTTCTGATTTTTTTCTGCAGGGATTGGATTAAGACACAAGGCTACCAACCATCCACCTAAATGACTCACTGACATGCAACTGAGCCAGTGATCAAGCTGTGAAGGGGCCTTGATCCCACACTGGGACTCCAGGTCTGCCCTTCTACTCTAACCCTGCAGCTGGAGGTGCCGTCAGGAACATGAGCGTGGGAAGAATCAACCGCTACAGCATTGTGTCATCTGAAGAAGAGGGTCTGCGCCTCACTACCATGCATGGTATGAATGGATTTGGCAATGGCAAGATCCACACACGCCGCAAGTGCCGCAACCGCTTTGTGAAAAAGAATGGCCAGTGTAATGTGCAGTTTGCCAATATGGACGACAAGTCGCAGCGCTACATGGCCGACATCTTCACAACGTGTGTTGATATCCGCTGGCGATGGATGCTCATAGTCTTTACTCTTGTGTTTGTTGTGTCTTGGCTGGCCTTTGGCTTAGCTTTTTGGGTTATAGCTTTGCTGCATGGAGATCTGGACAACCCAGCTGGAGATGACAACTTCACTCCATGCGTTCTACAGGTCAATGGATTTGTGGCTGCCTTTCTATTCTCCATTGAAACACAGTCTACCATAGGTTATGGCTACCGCTGTGTGACTGAAGAGTGCCCAGTAGCTGTCTTTATGGTGGTCTTTCAGTCTATAGTTGGCTGCATCATTGACTGCTTCATGATTGGCGCCATCATGGCCAAGATGGCAAGGCCTAAGAAGCGAGCACAAACGCTCTTGTTTAGCCACAATGCCGTCATTGCCATGCGGGATGGAAAGCTGTGTCTAATGTGGAGGGTAGGGAATCTGCGCAAGAGCCACATTGTTGAGGCCCACGTCAGAGCACAGCTCATCAAACCTCGGATAACTGACGAGGGGGAATACATCCCTCTAGACCAGATAGACATTAATGTGGGCTTTGACAAAGGCCTGGATAGGATTTTCTTGGTTTCACCTATCACTATTCTACATGAGATAGATGAGGAGAGCCCTCTTTTTGGGATCAGCAAACAGGACTTGGAGACCGCAGACTTTGAGATTGTTGTCATCTTGGAGGGAATGGTTGAAGCAACCGCCATGACCACCCAGGCTCGCAGCTCCTACTTGGCCTCAGAGATCCTTTGGGGACACCGGTTTGAGCCTGTGTTGTTTGAGGAGAAGAACCTGTACAAGGTGGATTACTCTCACTTTCACAAAACTTATGAGGTGCCGTCCACCCCCCGCTGCAGTGCCAAGGACATGGTGGAAAACAAGTACCTAGTCCCCAGCTCTAATTCTTTCTGCTATGAAAACGAGCTGGCCTTCCTTAATCGCGATGATGAGGAAGAGGATGTAGGTGGTGGAAGCAGAGCACTGGCGAACCTCAGTCCAGATCGAAATAGCCGACCTGAATTTGAACGCATACAGACCACCAGGGTCCTGGATCAAAGGTCATATCGTAGAGAATCGGAAATATGACCTCTACACTTTGACCTGAGGGTCAAATTTCAATAACTTTATTAAGGGTAAAAATGCAGAACAATGCAAAGTGCCATAGGAAAAGCTGACTACTGTGAAAGAGTGTAAAGGTGACAGGACAACAGTAAAAGGGACTTAATTGGAAGAAATGGGTAAAAGTGGGTGTATGCAGCTTGGCAAATTGTGGTAAAGAATGTCTACAAACAAGGAAAAAGCTAGAGGGATACCTTCTTCCTTTATGGAAACTTGAATCTTTTTTCACACGGTCATTTTGAGTTTAGAGTGTTAACTGATAGAGCATCAAAAAACCTTTATGACAAAACCTTATAATCGAACCTTAGGTGTAAATACATTTATTAGATAAGTTATGTTTTGTGTGCAGTATCAGTTTCCAAAAACACTTTTAAAATTAAGAGTTGCTATTTCAAATTGTTCTTGAGATCAAAGATAATGTTGGAAGGCTTCTCTTAAGCTCTCTTCGAATTGCTGCGATTTGCTGGAATTGCATTCAGTGACACATTGAAAATTTGTGCACCGCAGCATTCAGATGCAATGAGCCACGATCAAACATCTGACCATGAGCCGCTAAGAACAACACAAGTCTACAACTTCATTCGAAACTCAAGCTAGGGACCCAGACAAGAATATAAAGGAAGGTGTTAAACAGAAATGAAACTGAATTTACTCCCTATTTATAATGACCTAATTCCTCTTACAAGCTAACAAACCATGATTTGGCTGCCTACAGATATGATGACATTTGCAAATACGGTTCAACTAAGAAGTCAAGTAAAACAAAACTTAATCACTGATTTTAGACAATCGTGCTACAGGTGGCAATATCAAAGTTTGTACTGATCAAATTAATAAATAAACAACCCTTAAAAATGCACACTGAAGTGCTCTTTTACTTTTTCCACTTATGTGACAAGCAAAGATCAATTAAAACCTTTATGTTATCACTCTTCACTACTTTATCCTGAATTCTATCAAGACAAAACTGGTATAAACTGACTACACTTAATGTTTTTTTAAAAATGGATCTATGCATATTAACCTATCAGGGGACAAGCATCCTATAGAGCTAAGTGTGTGAGATAAAATTATCTAAAGGGATTAATTCAACGAATGCCCAATGATTAAAAAAACAAACTGAAATTAAAAGGTATGGTGTCAATTTCCTGCTACTAACTGCTACTGAAGTTTATTTCACCAGAGTTAAATTAAATTTACAGTAAACTGACTGTCAAAAATGGATAAAGGAAGACTGCTTGATAGATTTATTTTGTCTGAGAGTGGGCCTATGATTAGGTTAAATCACAAATCTAAGATTTAGTTGTTTGTATCCTAAATGAAACGAGCACCATAAAGTCTCCAGCATGGTTGCTTCGCTCACTGCTGCAACCTCGTCTCACAGTCTCTTGTATTTAAACCTGCTAGTATGGCGCAGGAAGCTGCTGCATTATTCTCTTGAATGATATTTGCTGCCACTCATACTATATCACCACATAAGTGCTGATATAGGAGGAGAAGAAGTCAAAACCAGAAGCCAAGACTTTGTTGAGTGTTTTTCCACAAACTCTCAAACCTTTCCTCCCTCTGTATATCTGTATGTCTCTGAGCTTCTGTGGCGGAGTATCATTAAGATGGCAGTAAAAGCCGACACGCTCATACACTCGTGTCTTCACCCCAGCTGCGAGCAGCCACGGCGTCACACGTCAGGTTACAAAAATTGAGAGGTACACAACCAGCACAAGGTACATAACAGATGATGTGACATCTAAATCAGCGTGCGACACCAGCGACACAGCGAGCATAATGACCCCATTAGGCAGATGAGTGTGTGTACAACACTTTAATGCTTTTAGATTAAGTTTAAAATACTCAAAATGTATAAACCAACTTTATAACTGCTCTGACATTTCTATTCAGTTTACATCAACAGTGGTTATATTTGACTACTGTTGTTATAATGTTACTAAGAGAGCTTATTTCAAACTATACTTGGATTGTAGATTTACATGACAACATTTTATTGATGATACAACAAACTGATCCTTCATTTAGCTGAAAAGTCAGACGTCCAACAGTAACACACACAAAAAAAGACAGTGTTCCCTTTTTTAATACTTGACTTTTGCTTTTAAAACAGTACATACTGTAGACAGCTAAATGCAGTTTAGCAATATGCTAATAAATGAGTTAAGACACTGGAGGGAGTTCAGAATAGAAGCAATAAGCACTGAAGCACACTTTTTTAAAAATGCGCTTATTCATGTTCATTCACAGACAACAAGTAAAAGGTTTTGTGCAAGGATAATGACCATAGAGGTTTTTTTGTTTGTTTTTGGAGGTTTTTTGTATTTTACTTATAATAAAACTTGTAATAAAAATAATTTCTCATGATTGATACCAAAGTAGTGGAGTGTAGCCTGAACTTAACTTGTTAAGTAATTGCTCCCACCTTAATCTTCCAAAACCAGTTCAGACAGAATGGGTAGATAGGCTCTAAGAAGGAGTTTGAGTCTCCAGTTTGCATATTTAAATCATTTCTAAAACTACATCAAAACATACAGTATATATCTGTCAAATAAAAATCTAAAACCAAATCAAGTAATCTTTTATTTGTAGTTTGCTATATAGAGAGTAGGTTAAAGTAACTATATAGAATTATTAAGCATGATAGCTTTTCTCTATGGCATGGACAATAAGATTAAAAAAAAAAGAGCCCTTATTCTATACCATGCCAATTTATCATCCAAACCTCAACATGTTCAGCATAAAGTTCAGCTTAATTATTACCTCAGTAAAATGTGTATTTCATGGTCCTATACAAAAAATTATGGCAAACAAAAGATTCTATATGTGCAAAGAAGGAGATTTAGGTCTCATTCACACAGGCCTAGAGACCAGTCGGTGGCCACTGAGCAGCCACTGGTATCTAGGAAGAAATTTGTATTTTCTAACCAGTTATTGGTAGGTGGTGAGGCTGTTGGCTGTCGTTGGGTGAAATTGGTCACAAAGACGTATACGGACGGGTAGAGCACCCTCTTTATGACCGATTTCACCTGGCAATAGCTAGGAACTTCCTGCAACCCCTCAATAACTGGTTAGGAAACACCAGTTTCTCTAGCAACCAGTGGTTGCCAAGGGTCACCAGCTACTGTCTGTGCCTGTTTGGCTGAGGCCTTAACCAATTTAAAGAAATAGGAAATAGAAAAAAGGAACCATAAAATGGTTATTATGCTGGTCACAATGACTAATGTTTTCAGTTAAGTTGTCATACGTGTGAGTCTAAGATACTTCTTGGCTATATGTTGCTTTTTTTGTAGGATGTAGTGAAACATAAATAGATTTTTTGGGGCTTATAAATGAAGCATCCTTTACCTACCCTGAACATTCATATGTTCATTACCTTCTGGGAAGGTTTTGCACACTGATGTGTGAAGCCTCTGCACCTACTCACGAAACTTTAGTGATAAAAAACAGGTGAAGGGTCTACAGCTTCCACGCTGCATTAAAGAGATTCATTAAATTCAATTTCTACTGAATATTTTTTTTCAAAGATTGTTTTTCATTTTCATGTTGCCCACCTGAGCCCTTAAAAAAGAAGCACACACTAAAGTTTTAGCTAAATAAAACATTTATAGTGTAAAAATGATTATAAAAATGATAATAAGGAGCAGCCAGGATGAACAACCTGCTTATTTTTATACAAAGTTGTTGGGTTGGGTTTTTTTTTTCACAGAATACAACAATCAAAATTTATCTGTTTTTACCAGAGCACTACGATAAAAATCACACTGAGAGGCTAAAATGTAATTCTTGTCTTAGTTTTCAAATTTTCACTTTCTGTTGTTTCCTTTCTGCACAGAAGTTAATGATTAAACAAGTATTTCTCTTAAAGGGATGATTGGAAAAACCTTTGACCTCTGTAGAAGTCTTCCTATGTCCAGCAAAATGTCTACTGGGCTTTTTATTTTAATTCAAAGTCATTAAAATATTCAATTAAAAACAATGTGAATTTTTTTTCATCTCTTTTGTTTCTTCATCCCTACCAAGTGTGGTCTGTGATGTATTGAAATGTACAGTCCAATTCAAACCTAGAGTTTCCTCAAGCATGCCCTCACGTGAGGTAATACATCACCACGAGGGGCGTGTGAAGAAGAGAGATCGAGCTTCGTGTCACCACAGTCAGATAACTTCCTGGGCTTGGGCCAATTATTCAAGAAGGCTCATCAATTAACCACTGTGACACACAAACAACTATTGGGGCCAGAGGCCTTTTGGCCCTGGGGAATTGAGCAGGAGGCCTGCAGCTGACTTTTTCATATCAATATGGCAACAACACATGACTTTGCTACAAGAGAGTAAAAAGAAACCTTACTGTTTTTCACAGAAGACAAATTGATATAACACAGTAGACAAAGTACACATGTTAATAAGAAGATGGATGATAGTTTCAGCATCTTAGTTTTGTGCATGCTGACTTGTTGTCATGACTTACAGTGTGGCCTGAATAGTGCTATAAGTAATAACTCTCATTCTCTTTCTAAAATACGTTGAAGTTTTTCTTTTAAGTTTAAGGACTTCCACTGCTGATTAAAGCCCAAACAACATTGAATACGTTTATCGTTGCTATTTGAAAGGGAAAACTCTGAATTATCTAAAGCGATTTATTTTGTTGGGGTCCTTAAATTTTTTCCATCCATCTTCTTCGATATGCAATTCAAAGTTGGGGGCTGGAGCCATCGCAGCTGTCATTGGGTTAAAGGAAGGTACAGCCTTGACATACAAAATAACTAGGCTAAGTAACAAAGTCATTATAAGATAATATCAGCCAATGTTGTATTTTATTGTTTGTATAAAACATTTGAAATTGGGAATACAGGTTTCATAAACAATATTGTGCAACTGTTAACAGTTGCACTGCTGGTGGTTAGTGGGTTGACATAATTCTTCAGAACTATCACAAAGATCACCTCCTAACAAGACACACAGAGTGTGCAAAGCAGAAGTTAC